CGTACAAAAAAAGAATGAATACTAAATTTATTTTAATAAGAATAATACAAATTTGTAGATGTAACATAAAGAAAATTGAATTATTTGATATTTTTGTATAAAACGGCAATTACCATAATAATAGATACAAGAATTAAGAATTAACAATAAATTCGAATGTAATAATGTATTTTTTATCTAACATTACTTCACAGAAAAAACTGATTACTTTTATTTATCAGAATCTGTGTTATTAAAATAATCACATAGAGGGTCCAATGGACCCACCGTTATCTCCGGAGAAATACAATTGAGTGGGTCCAAGCTTTCCAGCTCCGGAAAGTTAATCTTTGCAACATGCATCAATTTTTGCAGTAGCTTCTGAAAATTATTATATTTATCTTTTTACAGTCGTGTGTATGGAGGATGTAGATCCCGGCCCGTGCAGGGGTTACTTTCAGAGGTGGGCTTTCAACCCGCGGAAATTAATGTGTGTATCCTTCGCGTACGGCGGATGCCGTGGCAACCGGAATAATTTCCTAACGGCGGATGAGTGTAGCAATACCTGTGATGTTGTAAGTGACAACATTTCATTAAAAGTCAACACGCGCGAGCAGGATGGAGATGTCATCTCAATTCTCGTTCTCAGGTGCGAGTTGCTCTTACTGGCCAGGCTTTTAACGAGACTATAAACCGAGATCAAACGCCTACCGACTCGTTGACTCCTCCTCCGCCACCTCCTCCCGTGGATTGTGTGGTGACTCGTTGGTCAAATTGGTCACCGTGTAGTGTCACTTGCGGCGTTGGTCGTGTCACAAGTTATCGTACGATCGAGGTAAGCTAATTGGCTTCAGGCTGTTAGGCGCGTTATTAGTATTTGCGGAATTTGCGGTATACGTGGCTCGCTGGAATAACATAAACTGTTGTGCCAGTATTATTAACAAAGTATGACGAAGCTTTCGTACATACATAACACTGTTACGAGACCTTTCCTGATAATATCATATTGGTCTATGCAATTAGCGAGAGGCTGCAAATGGTGGTCGTCCCTGTCCGAAGAAGCTGCATCGTCGTTATCGTTGCGAGCTGGCGCCGTGCGAATGACAAATCGACAAGATGCTCTTTACTGATATTTAAATTAAGATATGAATACATAGTAGATTAAGGAATATACTTAGGCAAAGGATTCTGTCAAAAGAAGATAGTTTAATTACATCTGCAAAGAGGTAAATCTCTGTAAATTTTTAATCTTATTGTTAGAACGTACGAGACCTAAGCCATATACACGAATGCATAACGTGGATTATTGTGTCCCGTGCGCAATTTGATTATTTCTTATATTTCTCCGCTCCCGATGCTTTTCCTGTATGCCAAAAAGCTTTACGGTAACGAAAAATTAATTTGATTAAAAATGTTTAAGTATCAAAAACCATTTTAGATTATCGTGTGTATTGCGAATAAAATATTTTAATAACTTTACACGTTTCACTTTGCAAAGCGATCCACGTTGAACATTCAACAAATTAATATTAATTGATTGATACAAACTATCAATGTACATTACTGCCAGTTCTCTATTGCCAATATTTGTCGCCTTTTAAAGTAATCGCGTTACAAACATTCCACGCTGTATTCTTTTTACAAAGTGCTGGATACGAAATAAACGGATTATCAGAATAAATGATATTTTATTAATAGTTATTTGGTTTATACCGCCTGCCAACTCCCATCGAATTTCAATCGATACTACAAAACGCGGAATCGATATAATTGCTTTATATCGGATGGAACGTTTGTCTCCAATAACATATCCGTGCAAATTTAATGTATCCGAATCCCGTCGTTTGCAAATTAATATTGCGTCCATCAAATGAGATGGTTAACCGTAATATTAAATTTGTGGTGCTGCACGATGGAAAAAATAAAGAAGAACCTTTTTGAACAATTTGCTAACGTTTTGATACAAATGGAAAACGCGGAAATTAAATTCGGAGCTGGATAACCAATTTATTCTCACCTCTCGTTATTCTCGCGTTCTAGCTGCACGTTTTTTAAATGATACGTCGTCTCGAGCAACATATGGATTGCTCGAGCGATTAATGCTGTGAGTGTCACGTCTGTTATTCTTATGTTCCGACGCATAAATTTCTTACGTAGAAATTCATGCGTCCATAATTCACTACGGGCTCTGAATTGCGATCAGCTGTCTTTGGAAGATGTCCAAAGTCGCGTGCAACTCCAAGAAGTCTTTTGACGCCGTAGCGACTTTCTATTATTTTTCGTATGTTTTCGCGCATGAAGTCGCATGTGACGTAGAAACACGAACAAATGGAACTACTTTATGCATCTATAATCGTAAGAAAATTCGATTGGATTCGCAGGACTGTCGTTTTATTCAAATAATTCCGTTTTTATTGTAATAATTCCGCGCTTTATCTTGCGCTTATTGAAATCATTGGTTCCACTTGCGTTTTGTTCGTTTTTCTTTCTTTTCTTTCACAACAAACACTCGCTACTTATCACCAATTGGGAAATCTAGCTTCACACAGTTACATTAATAATCTCATATAAATAATACACGTGGTATAATGACAAAATCACTATACATCTACCAAGAACGCCAAACCGTCATATTATGTTTTTGAGATTATACATTAGAGGTGTGCAAATAGTTCGAATTAGAATCGAATAGAATCAAATTATAATGAATTCGATTTGATTCATTTTCGAAACTGAGATTCAAAATCGAATAAATTCGAAATTTCGAATCATCGGTGGTTCAATTTCAAATCAATCACCTATTTTATTTACTTCATTTATGCATGGCTCTCTTAAATCAAACGTGATTTATTTTCGTTTATTTGAAAAATCTGAAAATACTTTATTACTTTTAAATTAGCTTTTAATGTAAATCCGGGACAATTTGATTTTAAATCGATTTGTTTTCGAATCAAAAAGATTCGATTCGATTCGATTTGACGTAAAAATTTCAAATCCGATTTAATTCGTTTTCGAACATGTATGTTATTAAAGATTCAATTTGATTCGATTCGACCTCACAAATGCTTGATTTATACATCTCTATTATACACTAGCTTTCTATGCAATTAAACAATACAATTTTCTATTATAGTGTAATATAGGATTTTTCAACCAACAGTGTGCCACGGTAGTGTGTCACAAAGGATCTCTCCAAGAGTGTCACGAAAAGATAAAAAAAGTAAATAAATTTAAAAATAAGTAAAAAAACGAGTGAGGTACAAAGTAAAAAGTATTGTAAAAAATTGTGAATATTACTTAAATTATCTTGTGTTTACTTTAACTTTTCATTTTAACCAAAATGATATCGTCATTGTTATATAGTCTCACTTTTAATACAATAAAATAAAAACTTTGGAACCTTACTTTTTATTTCTGTATATTGTTTTGAAGGTATCTGACAATATATCTAAGCTGAGCATCGAAATTTGCATTTAATATTGTATCTCAACAAGTTTGGATCGTTATTTAATGCGCTGCGAATTCAACGAGATTGAAAAATGCTGATGTAATGCAGCATGCAACTTCTTAAATTCATCAAATAACTCGTTTAAAATTTACTTTTGCTTAAATCGCTAAATTATTTCGCTTAATTAATTCGCTCAGATCCTGTTGACCCTATTTCATTTAAAGAAATATTACTTCGGCGGTTTGACCCGCTTGGTAAATATATAGTGCTTCTCTCAATAATGATTATATATCTCTCTTATGCTGTTATCGAGATCACGAGAAGATCGATGACGAATAGGAGGACGAAACGAGCGAGCAATTGGACAGTGCCCTCAGGGCGACTTGCTCCTCAGGAACTTACCTGTGGTGCTGATCGCGCGGTTCGTTTGACATTAATGATAGTAATAATTGTTATTAACGTACATACACGTAATATCTAGGAAATAGTACGTAATATCTAGGATTCTCGTTCTTTTAGGCCACTACTCGACTATGTACTACCGGCGGGTTCTTTGGTCGTGCCACTTGTACCTGTTCTTCTGTGCCTCGCGAGAATCGATTCGATCGCTCGCCGATTTGACCTGGCGTAACGAAAGATTTAGCCATTCGATAGTCCAAATATAGACGAAGAGTTACGCGTTGGATCGTTAAAAGACAACTCGTTAACAGTTACGTGCTTGTAAATAACGAGCGATTAATTCTCGGAAATTTTGCAGAAATTTGAGACTTTAAGGATCCAGCCGCCTCTCTTTCACGCAATCTATTGTGCATATCTTACGAAGAAAAGTTATTGTATAATTGATTCTTTCAATACCGCGCGTTTGTGGCCGTTCTAAATACTATCATAGAATAAAAAATAATAGAAATCGTCCATTGGCAATGACTGATTATCGATTAGTTCGTGTGACTAGAGTGAGATAAGTATATGGAACAAATTAAAAGTATTGAAGAAACGATCGCTTGAAAGGAGCTAAGAGGCTACGAGATTCGCTCTTCAGTAGACCAGCTCTCTGAAGATACGATAGATTCAACATCTGTTTCAGGTAACGCAATTCGTCGCGTTCCTCGACAGTTAACTTATAAGATAATATAACCATGTTTTTTCCACCTTTCTGTTACGAGATCTGACTGACTAGTGTTGACTAGGCTATTTGCCGTCGACTCACACATGCTACTTCCGTTCTGGCAGTAGTAGTAATAGTAATAATTCTCAGTACAATCTACCGTCGATCGTTGCTCAAAGACTGCCGCGAGAAGGTACTGCGATCAATCATATATGATATTCCATCATCCCAACTAATTTAAAAAATAATTAAATAGTAGTAATACAAACGAGATAAAATACAATCTTGTATACAACTGCTCTGCTCGAGAAAATTTAAATTGAAAAAAAGATAAAAAAATAAATTTACTACAATACTCATAGAAACTCTCCTTCACGTGTATAAAATTAAGAATATAAAAATAAATATATATAAAATATAAGTAATAAATATGACGTACCAATAATCTTGAAGTGAAATTTTGAGCCGTTATTTCATTGAAGGAAGTATTCGTAGTAAAAGGATTGGTGAAGGGTAGAGGATGAGATCCTAATGAAAGATGGGATTTCTTCGAGATTTCCGATCGACGTCGCTCTTACGTTTAATCGGCATGGCGCGTCGCATCGCGAGAAAGGCATCATTGTGCGTCTGCCGACGTCGGGACGGTCGTGCCGCATGCGTGCGTGCATGCATGCGCGATCGTCGTCGACGTCGTTCTAGCCTCATGGCCGTTGTAAACGAAGCTCGTAGCTGAGTTCCGATTGATGCTTCCTGTGTCAGCTGGTCGGCCGCCGCCCGTTGGCGACATATCCGTTTCCTCAGAGCCAGCCGGCGGACACGTCATGGCCGGAAATCGGCTCGATGCCGGGAAGACGTTGCAGCTGTGTCGCCGATCCGTTTCGCTTTGCCGTGATCGACGTCGAGCCACTCGCCACTACGCTCTCTTCGGTGGTCGACGGTGTCAGTGGAACGATAACACCTACAAAAAGAAACAAGGATGGCCACGTTGTACATACATATATAAATTTCTTTCTTGTTTATAAATATCGCACTTAACAAAAAATTTATTAATATTATATAAATTAAAAGATTGTATGCGAAATTTTTATATGCAAAAAATAAATGTAAATTAACTCTTGATGAACAGGTCTCTGTTTAGCACATCTCCTTTTATTTTATAAACTGTGTGAGTTTGAAAGCTGGTCTATGAGATAATTTCATGTTTTATTCGATTCTGAGATCAATATGGTAACTTAACATGGTAAATATAATTTCTAAAAAATTATCTGATGATCATATAAAATATGGTTTTAGAAAATTTTTATTGCGAAATAATAAGTTTCTGATTTCAAAAACCTTTACAAAACAAGATTTGCATTAAGTTTTTTGTTAAATGAGATTCCCGTCCTTAAAGGATTAAATTTATAATTAATAAGAAACTGTATAGACATTTCCACAAGTTTAAATAACCATTTTTGATGTGCCTACATATATCCTGTTACTCTAATTTATAATATGTTCTAGTTACAAGCTCAAATAATTACTCGAAGCAAGTGGCGAACAGATAATGCATGATAGTTATATGCACGATAATGCACGTCATAATTGGTTCATCCTACACCTATATGCTCTCGTGAAACAACATCCCATGCAATAATATCAGTTCACCTTGTTGCGCGTTAATGTGCTCGCTGATGGCGATTTCGACGACGTCGAGACTGGGTTGCTGGCTCTGCGTAACCTCGTGCCGTCGAGACGTCGTTATTGACGAATGCGGCGTTAATTCGGGACCCCGAGTGGGCACGCTGCTGGCGCGTTGCAGTTGCTTCTTCGAGGAGATCCTGGCCGCCAGGACGGTGGCGACCGAAGATGTCGTGCTCGAGTCTGCGGGATTCGTGTTGGTGCTGCTAGTCATCGCGGGCGTAGATGACCTCGAAGCGGAGAACTTCTTGCGCTTCTTCCTCAGGGCGGCCAGAGCTGGGCCCAGGCCGTGGGTAAACATGTGATGCGCCTCTTGATGCTGTGCCTGATGATGTGCGTGATGAGAATGAGAGTGAGGGGGATGCTGAGAGTTTTGTACATCGTGACTAGCACCCTCCAAAGAGGACTTCGAGTCCGAGGAGCCTTCGGATCGTGAGCCGCCGTCCTCGGACGCCGGCGAATATACCGAGTCCTCAGAACGAGATCTACCTGAGAAAAAAAAATTACGTTTGTTTATTTATAAAGTAACTTCATTATTATTCCATTTAAATAAGAGATTTATATGGAAGAGAGAATCATAACTGACGATATTATTAGAATATCTAATTACTAACTGTTCAGATTAAATGCCTGTAAATTATTGTATTAAGATTTTTATGCTCGTTATGTAATTTAAACACATATTATGTATGTTTGATTCTTGTTTATTACCAGTTGTTATACCAAAATCTTACGTATTTGCAACAGTTTTTCTACTGATCAGTTGTTGTCACGTTATGTCACATCGAATTAAATACTCGCGACTGTTTCCCTTTCTCAGCTGTTCGAAAGTTACTTATTGCTTAAACGTCTTTTATCAGTCTTTTTTCAATAAATCGTAAAAGCTCATCTCTATAAGACCTTTCCGCAATCTCTCGCGCTTTCGATCTAATTTCGACATCAATTAAATCGTAAATTCTTTACAATTCTATCTCGAATACACAAAATATTAGGAAGATAGGAGACAAAAATATATTGATAACGTGTTTCAATTTAATAATATTTATTCTATAGAAATATAGAAATTGTTTATTCTATTTTCTTTTTTTTTTATTCATTCATATTTAATATTAAAAATATTCAAAATATTTTTAAAACTTAAAACTTTAAAACTTTTCAAAAACTTTATAATAATACAGTTTAAAATCATATTTCATCTTTTTAAATAAAGAGCGTACTAATATCTATCTTATACTCTCGCATTCATTCAACAAATACTATAACGGATATCAAGATGGTTGGAGAATTAGTAATATTAAACAAAATATTAATGCGAAGAAATCTTCAATTTACCGATTAGTCTGGAGACCCTTCCAGCTTTCGCAGCTTCGATCAAAGTGCCCCAACGCTTCTTCCGAGAGCTACTTCTGGTGCTGTGGCTTTGTCGCGACCCTGTAGCTAGCCCGGGTACGCTATTAGTGCTGATATGATGTGGGCTCTTCTTCGGAGTTGTGCCCGGTCCAAATATGCCACTCAGGGTTGAGCCAAATAAGTCATGATGAGAATTCTCATGCTGTGCTTGCTGAAGGGACGCGATGAATTCAGCTACGGGCGGTAGGGTGCTGCTTCCGCCCGGCTGTGGCCCGATGTTGAAACCCTTCATTAAACGCCGCTCCTTCTGACGGTTTTTCTTGCCACCCGCACCTACGGACAGCTCTTTAAGGCTACCGTCTGGGAGACAAACAGAAAATCGGCGAGCAAATCTACTAAAAAAAAAACTCAAAAACAAAAATTTAAATAAAAAACAAGAGAAAATCTAAAGTCACGTATGATAATCATAGCTTAACTAGATTATAAATAAATTATATGTTAAATTATAGTTTACGCAAATGAATAATTTTTAGTGCAAGACAAGGAACTTTTTTTAACGCACTTTGGGATGTTGAGTTTGAATTTACAGAAAAATTCTATCGAATTGAATTTTTAAGATATAGCATTTTTAAGATAGCATTCCTTTTTTAATAATTTAGATGCAACAAATGATAAGCAAGACAAACATTTTTAACAGGATTTGACGATAATTAAGAAACGTTATCAGGTATTAAGACAAAAATATGCTAATTGTAAGTAATTTCTGCTGGACTTTAATACGTGAAAGTTGTATAAAAAATCCAAAATCTTATAAAAATTGAACGCTCAATACTTCTAAGTTGTAATTTTAATAAAACTTTACTATAATTGAAAAAAAATGTTTTTTTTATAGCTCAAAAATTTGATGGAAATATTTCGATGACAGATGCAGGCTCATTATCAAAAATTAGAAAATAATCTTGCACAAAGTCTTGTAAACTGGTGTAATGTGTGTTATGTTAATTGTTCAACATATAACAAAAACTACAACAAATATAGAAATAATATCGAAAATATTAATTTAACTTTTCTTTATTTTTTTGCATTAACAAATAAGAATGAATAAAATAACTTTTACGCTGTGCTTTCTAAATTCTTCTGAAATTCTCTATCGGTTGCAAAAGTTTTTTCCTTTTAAGATGTAGTGTATGCAAAAATAAAAATTAACAAAATGTCAAAATAAAAATTAATTTAGTTTTAATATACAGGATTAAAATTAACGATTCTAGCTATTGGTTCAGCACATAGAAAAAGAGAAAATTAATAAATTAAATTAGTACAATAATTTATTTATGCAAAATTTGTGCGGATCACAAGTAAAAATTATTCTACGTATTTTCTCATTAAGGCGAATTGGAGATTTAAGCCGACGTGTTACTTACAGAGTCATCGGGTAAATTCTTTATTAGAGTAATTAGCCTCGAAAGTTCAGATGATTAATGGTGCTTTCTTTAGCTTCAAATTACAAGGGGTTACTTTTGCTCAATGACTAATGCGAGCGTTACTACGAATAAAATAATGATTGGTATTCCCAAGCAGAATCGCGGAGTTAAATTCGAAGTTTCGACGCTCCACGTGATGCGATTAACAATTTGTGGATTACCAACAACTGCGCCGTCGTTCGTATAATTCTCATCGTTAACTCGGAAACACATCCGTTCGTCGCCGCGACGAATATACTTTTTGTTTAGTATCAAAATAATGTTTAATTGCACACCTTCGAGAGACGAGGGATTAATAATTTCATTCCGCTCGCATATTTTACGAATATTCATTTTCACATTCAATAAACTCTACAACAATATTGTTCTGAGTAAACGAGAATCCGTTCCTTTCAAAGGAAATTGAAAACACCCGCGATCAATATCCGCTGTACATACACACTTGATTCTTACGGTAGCAAACACTGTGCAACTGAATCAATGCTTTCTCATGCGGGATATATGCAAGGCAATTTATTTTCTTCTCACTTTTCGTTTCGACTTACCGGTACCGCTGCTCGCTGCAGTGGAAGTGTTCATGCCGGAATTCTTCAGTATCTCGATGAGCTCGCAACGAAACGCACTGATGTCTTGTTTGATCTCGTTCACGTCATCCTCCGTGACACCCTCGCCCTCCGCTTTACGTTGTTCCACCGTTACATATCGCCTCACCAAATTTCTCATGATACTCTGATATCTAAAGTCCCGCTCGGAAGCTTGTTTGACCTTTCGCTAAGATAAAAACCAGAAATCGAGACCCTTCAACTTCCAAAGTTTTCGTTACAAAGCGCATGTTACGCTTTATATAGTACGCCCCAGATTTGTCGAGCCATTACGGATCACGAATTCTTTGATGTACTAGATTTTCCCTTAGCGAAAATGTCGAACGTTGCTACGATATATTTTCTACCATGCATCTAAATATAACTAATTATCTGAAAATATATCTATAAAATATTATACTAAATTGTATGTGTAACGATTATAAATAAAACTTCTTTAAATAAGAAACCTAAATAACCCAGTCAGAAATGATAATGGAATCGACATTGAATCGACATCGGTTCGATGTCGATTCCATTATCATTTCTGATTGGAAACACGTAAGATTTGCTATATTTAAGAAGTTTTATCTTTAATCGTTTAATAGCTTGATATAAGATTTCTTGTTATTGTTAAGAATTGTTTCTAAGTCCTTCAAGGAATCTGTATAAGATAAAAACTTCGTAAAGAAAAACTTTGTATACTTACATCTATGCCATAAGATCTGTAAATATGTATGTGCGATAACTGAATCGTTGCGACTTATAATGACAAAAACTTTCTTGAATTTAATATCCCTTGCAAATACTAAAAAAAAGATGCGAACTTCTCTTCTGACACTTGAATTTCCGCTCTAAATATTCTTACTACATAAGAACCTAATTTTAAAATCCAAAACGAAGTTGGAGTGCCCCGGAGAAATTCGTAAAAAGCATCTCTCATAACAGAATACATATTTCAATATCCTCCAGCGTTCACGAATCCCTCGCGATACGCTAGCATTGACATCTTATTCTGTAGCTCGCTTTGCATTGGGCAAGCGATAAAAATTCAGATTCGAAAATTGAAGATGGCTCGACCCTCCGGGGAATTTTCTTACAAAAGCAACGACGTCGCGGATGCTATTCTAGTCTTGCAAAAATCCGAGAACTGTCGTTCCTACCCTGATTGTTCGCATGTGCTCCTTTTTGGCTGCTCTGCTGTGTCCACAGAGCTTCCGATATATCCATTGTGCGACGTACCAGACGCTCTTCGGTGTCGGTATGATGTTAAACGGTGGTGGAACAGTACCGCCTTCCTCAAAATAGCTGATCCAGAGCTTGCTTCTCGCGAACTTCCACTCGACGTCAGCGCGTTCCTAATTACGAGCAGCGAATCACCCCGCTAATTAGTCTCGGCTAATTATAGATGCAAAAAGTACGGTGAGGTACGATTTATCGTGTGTTTTCGACGTTGTTTTAGTATTTCAAGAATCTCACGCTCGTTTTCGCAAATTTTCCCAGAGAATAAATGTTGCCTTTATAGTATTATTTAATTATTCATTTAATGCAACATTTAATGTGAATAAAGTTTATTTTCTCATTTTCTTCATTTCTCTTGGGTTTTTAGTTGAATTAAACCTTATATATACAATAACGTTTGTAAATAAATTTCGCGGAAGATGCTGCACTTACCGAGATTAGTTGATAGGAATGATTCATCATGGCAATCAGGAGATTCAGGAGGACGACGATGTTAATAACTGAGTAAGTACCAAACATTAACATGCCCCAGAATCTAGTGAATACCTTGATACCGTCTAGTTCGAAGCTGTCGAGATCCACCAGGCCAAAAACCGCCCAGAAGAGCGTTTGTATTGTCTCAAACAGACTAGCCAAAATTCATATCATGTATTATCCGAAACAGCGAAAATAAGCACATAAGAATTTAACTTAAAATAATAGAGAAACTCTATATATAGTTATAAAATACAAAATATTTATATCATAACTATACAATTTGAATTCTAAATATATCAGGTAATGTAAACAATAAGGGGCATATAGCCACAGCATTAGATGTTTTTAGCGAAAGTCATTTATTTTAAATTATAGTAAGGAGAAGTAGACATTTCGGTCAATATTTGACCATCATCAGTGCAATATATAAAAGAATGTTATAAAAAATAAAAAATACTTAACAATAAATCTACAGTCCAGAATAAATGATGACAAAATTTACAAATGGTATGCCATTAGAAGAAAACTATCAAATCGTATCTTTCGATATTACTTCCATGTATACGAATATACTAAATGATTTAGTTTTGAAGAGTATTTTGGGGAGATGGAATCTTATATGCAACAACACGACAATACCGATAAATAAATTTCAAATAGCAATCTCAATTATTTTAAATTCTACATTTTTTAATGATGTATTTTTCGAACAAATCTTTGGTCTGCCCATGGGATCGCCCCTCTCTCCAATTTTAGCTGATGTTGTAATACAAGACTTAGAGTTTAACATCTTCAAAACACTAACCACACATATTCCATTCTATTATCGCTATGTTGATGACATTATTTTAGCAGCTCCAAAAGATCAAATTAATACTATTCTTTGTTCTTTCAATTCTTATCATAAAATAATTAAATTTACTGTCGAATTTAGCGATGATAGAGGAATAAATTTTCTTGATGTAAGATTACTAATAGAAGAAGGAAGAATTTTTGACAATTATAAGAAGCCTATTAATTGTGGCAGATATTTAAATTTTTTTTCAAATCATCCTTAAGAACACAAAAAGGGTGTTGTAATCGGGTAGTTGGACAGATTATTTATCTTATTCCTCTCCCATCCTAAATTTCACGAGAAAAATATCACTTCATTAATTAATATTTTTCAAGAAAACGGATACCCATTGGATTTCTTGTTTTCAACTATCAATTACAGGATTAAAGCGTTGTCTTTTAAAAATAATTTTGATAATATCAAGGAACATAAGATAGTGTCATTTCGGAATCCACTGATAATACTAAAAAATTTTTTACCAGTCCGTACTTCAACAAAATTTCGGAAAAATTTAAATCCATTACACAAAAATTTGACTTTAATATCATGCACAAATCAATGAATAGTTTGAAGACCTTGATCAAAACAAGCAAGGATAAAATTAAAAAAGAAGATCATTCTAATGTGGTGTATAAACTGCCACGATTGCAACTATTCATATATAGGACAAACAAAAAGAAAACTTAATACACGTTTAAAAAAACAAAAATGATCCTAAAAAACCATCGAACAATTTGTCTGTTATATCTCATCATACGCTAGATCATGATTATAAGATGGATTAGGATAATACTATTATTCTTGATTCCGAACAATCTTATTATAAAAGGTTGGTCTCAGAGATGATACATATCAAAAGACAAAAAATAGGTTTAAATAAGCAGAGTGATACATAACGCTCTTTCCTGAAATCTATTCCTTCCTATCCTTGGAAATATCCCCTCTACTCACCATTAGTTTTTCCCCCACTACTCTTCTTCTCTCTCCTTTCCTTACACAATTTTATAAAGACTGTCGCTACGTTGTCATCACATTTTTGTCAAAAATAGTTCTTTCCAAATTGTGGCCAGGACTTGGTTTAATTGTACACTATATCTGTGATTCACTTTTTCGAGGACTTGTGCCACTAAATACGTGATAAGCGATTTTGACTAGTAATCTAAACCGATTCTTATTATTAACAATGTGTTGATAGGTAACATTATATGTATAAAATTTTTGTTTTTTTCGAATTTTAATTAAAATCTGAAAATTACGTATTTCACACTCGAAGTCGGAAATAACTTCTAGAAAAGGACTTTATAGTGCAATACAAATTCGTTTCATATGTTACTGTAATTTGGCTTTTTAATTTTTGGACTGGATACTGGATTGTATCAACTCGTTACATAAGCGAATGTAAATTTTGTCAATATCTATTCTGGACTATCGATTATTGTTAAGTATTTTTTTTTTGTAACGTTCTTTTATATATTGTACTGATGATGGTCAAATATTGACCGAAACGTCTACTTTTCCTTATTATAATTTGAAATATATGACTTTCGCTAAAAACATCTAGTGCTATGGTTGTATGCTTTTTATTGTTTATATTTTGTATATTTTTAAGCCACTTCTAAAAGTTTAAATTTATATCAGGTAATGCTCCTTTTCCTTTTTTTTTTACTAAAGATTTAATAAAATTCTTATATAAGCCTCCTCGGTTGTTAGTACGTAAAAACATATACTTATAAGCAATAAAATACAATTCGCAAGTAATTATGTAGAATATACTTACTAAATGAAAATCAAAAGTAAACTTGTAGACGTTTTGACTTCAGATAATTCAGTTCGTACTCAACTTCACTAATTATCATACTAAAAAGGATTCAAATCTAAAGTCGAAATGTCTGCAGGTTTACAGTTTATTTTTAACTTCATTTAGTAAGCACATCCTAATTGCTCACAAATTTAATCATTTTTTTATAAATATATAATTTATGCACTAACAACCGCGAAGACGTCTCAAATAAACATTTTATATATATATATTGCATTAAATAAATTCTTTTTAGTTTTATATATTTTTTAAAAAGCAAATATTCATTGAAAGAAGTTATTGCGTACTTTGCGAATCGACGCCAAACAGTGCACGCGTTAGGATCAGCATTGATTGCGCTAACATTAGTAGCATATGGCATTGCTGAAGGGCACTGTTTTTTCTCCATGTCGGCATAATACCAGAGAAGTTGATTGAGACCTATAATAAATGTTTCCTTTTACATTAATCTTCATCTTGCTGCAATATATCTTAATGTGCCACTTTTATTTCATTTACCACACGAGAAAGCGAAGAGGACCAACACGTAGAGGAAGAAGAATTTCATAATGTCCATGACCATCCTCGACAAGGAAACTTGCAGCGGACCGAGATGAGGATTCACGGAGAATATGTAGACGAGCTTTAGCGAACTGTAATGCGATATTATTTGCTACTTTTAATCTGAATAATACAAAGTGTTTATAATTTCCTACATTAACTTTCCCGATTCAGCTTTAACGTTATATCGTATTAATTCTCCAATGCAATCAAAGATTCATTTGCACTTAAAGTGCGATGCACTGATCATTCGCATTCAAAGCACGTTTTAAACGCGTTTGCATACATTTTAAAGCTATCGCAACTAGATTGTAATTGAGAGATATCATGATACATCATAATTTGTTTTATTATTTTGCAACGGAGAGAATAAAAAGATTTAGTGATATTTATAAGATATACGGAAGGAGATTAATGTTCCTAGCTTATATCGCAATCGCATCCTGTCCTGAGCTTTCTGTACAACAGAGATGCACGATCGAGCACTCGTAATTTATTACCTGAAGATGTTAGCGGCGGAGAAGAGGCCCTCAGAGATGAGCATCGGGTCCCAAGTGTCCCACTGCTCACGCTGGAGTTCGATCACCGAACCCGGCACCTGATCCTTATTCTCCTTTAGCACCCTGTAGTAAGCTACGACTCTGAGCGCCACTGTGGCTACGTATAGCGAATTCGTTACGAAGTCGATCACGTTCCACATATCGTTCACGTATTCCTCCAGGCCCACATCCCACAATTGTTTCACCTCCGACCAGATCAATCCCGACACCCAGGCCAATATAAACCTGCGATTTCGACCATCTGGTTTTGATCTTATTTCTGAACGAAAGAGACGTGCGACACGTCAAATCGGTGGCTTGCTTGCATAATTTATTCATCAATGAATTCCGCGCCTCGTAAATCGATTGATGTTACCAGAAATTTATTCGGAGAAGTTAGAACCTTTTCAGTAGTACCTTTTTGATATCTTTTGATTATTCTTCTTTTTTCTTTTCACTCTTTTTCTTACACTCACAGATTTTGCTAAAATATCTAAAAATTTTGCTAGATACAGATGCGAAAATAATTTCGTTTGCATAAAAATAATTCTATAGGACGCTCAAACTGGTTGTTAGAACATTAAAACTTTTTCCAGCATTGTGTCATCAACGTTTAACCCGGGAATATACGATCTGTCTAAAAAGTTCCGAACTGGATTAAAAAAAAAACCTAAAAATAAAGAGATATAAATTTTAGTAATAAAAACTTTCAACAAAGTCTCCTTCCCTTGATCTCAATGCATGAATGCACTGCTCAGAACGTTTTTCAATTGTCGGAAGGTTTTACAGTAGTCTTTTTTCGAAATAGTCTTCAATGCACTCGTCACATCGAAGGCTATTTCGAAGTCAATTCGTCTGGAGATTTAAAATGTCACCAAAACGCGTTGCCTTCATTTGCATTTTTTTCAAAAGTCAAAACCATCTGCGTCAAAAAAAAGCGACCAACATCATCTTGATTTTGAATTTTGTTGCCCTCACTTTCAATTTTGCCTCCCCTGAGACCAACCGTAGATTTGAATTTTGAAATAAAATGTCAAATTTGACAACAGCTCGCTATTCCATTAAGAAAACTTTTAAAAGAGAAAAATCTAATGAAACCCACATTCGCCGGTCCTCGAAACATGTACTGCTTATGTCATAAAAAAATCGTACTAATAGTTGAATGTTGGTAGTAAAAGGTGTCGTAATTAATTGTTGAAAAAATGACATTATTTATACGTTCAGAAAAAAATCAGTCTCGGAACTGTTTAGACAAACCTGAAATATTTTTATATTCCAACGGCGAAAAAAAGTGTGAATTGTTGTAAAATATTGTTTCGTATGAATATTGTTAAAAATTTTTTTCTTTTTTAATAACTATTCTTTACAAATCTTTAAATACACAATTTTATCAAAAAAATTCTTTTTTAATGTTAATTATTATCCTTATTTTTTGAAATACTGTCATAAAAAATAATATGGTTAGGTTATGGTTATGGTTAGCTATTTAATGCTCATTCTGTTTAATATTTGTTTTCCACTTACCTTTTTCAAAAAACCGTGATTAAATTCGTATTTATATTTTTGAATATTAATAAAAAAAAAAAATCGGAAACAGTCAATTATATACATAATATATTAATAACAGTGATTTTAGTGAATAATAGTAAATAATAGTTAATAATAGTTAATAATAATGAATTAGGCCTTTAAATCCCAATCGTTGTGGTATAAAACGATCGCTCTGAGTAATCGTTTATATAAAAAGTATCAGATTACTCACAAGTTACCAAGCGTTCTACATTTGTTGTGATGATTCAACAAAATTATTTTTAGATTCGTATCTAGCTAAATTTTTAGACATATCAACTAAAAAAAGCCATTTTTCCGCTCTTTTATTATCATAATAGCTCGCGGTTTAACTTATTGATTTATTTTCGCATGAAAGTAGAATCTCAGCGATATCTTGTTAATAACGCGTCAAACATAAATTTGTGATATGACAGGTCTTGTTCATCTTATTTCGATCTCGTCATCGTAAAAGAAAAAAAGGAGTCTTCGTGATTGCACGTTTCTGGGGTTTATCTCGTTTACCACCGACTTACTATGTGTAATGCTTCTATACGTTTTATATTACCTTTCGCACGAGCAGAGAGTAGCATAAACCGATAGATATTACATGAATTTTATCCATCTTTTCCCGCTTTACTTTTCTCTTCCTCTCTCTCTCTCTCTCTCTCTCTCTCTCTCTCTCTCTCTCTCTCTCCTGAAGTATTATTTATTCATTTTTACAATATTTTATCAAAATTTTTTATACCCCTCGCATGTAAAACCTCCCTCGTTGTTACTCCTCAGAGTTACGAATCACGTGATATCGAGTTTAACGAATAATAACATGAAACACGAATACGAGCGCGAAATTGAAGGAAACCTTACCATTCCACAATCGTTGGTGCGGCACCTCTTTTCGTCGGCGCTGGTTCGTGCTCCACGACATCGTGTCCCATCCAATTACCGATCACGCTCTCTATCCGCTGACTAGCCAGTATTAACATGACTGCACAGGCAAAATTATGCGCATTCATCATCGTTAAAAATTCAGAACAGTCGTAATTTAAACGTAAAGTCGTAACGGTAATGATAGATCGTGCAACTTGACTCAGTTGAGATAGAATTCATTTCAGCAGAGATTTAATTCGCGATTTAATATCTCAGACGTTCAATGTTAGAAGTTAGAGAGCTACGATTAAAAAACGGCTTCTTAAAATCCCTTCAAATGAGAGAAAGAGTCTATATTTTAGGTCTAATTAGTTATAGTAATTAATGAAATTTGTCGTGTTAATGATGTAAATACATAATCGAATGAATAGCAGAAACCAAGCCAAAGATGTATCGCTCGTAGTTGAACGAGCAATTAATTTCGGAGCAGTAATACTTCTTAGCCGAATTCCGTACATTAGTGCACGACTATTATTGGTAGCGGCACCAAAAGGTATTTGTAAACTGTTTGACGTTCGCAGCGTAGATGTTTGATCTACCAACGTGCCGGAAAGTTAAATACGCCGTAAGAAACGCTGTTTGAGAACCGTGTCGCTCTCTTTCCCGAATATTTCCGCAGGATGAGTCATATTGGATATCGTAAACGCGTGAAATTATTCGGATGTTGAAGATGGAAATCCGAAAATCATCAATCTATGAAATATACGGCTCATTTTTTTTCCTTTAATAATAAATATTACATAATTACTGTCAAAATAGTTTTTTTAGATGCTTTTAAGGAGATTTTATAAAAATTTTGCGATATTTCAAGTCATATTAAATTTAGAAACTTAAAAAACTTATGGAAATTTATGTGTTATCATATTTTAAAACCGCATAATTGCAGACACAGTTTAAAGCATAAATTCCACACATTGAAAAAAGTCATATGAAAAGATGGATATAATATACAAAGTTTAATATATTTCTCTGAAATATGAAACTAAAAACATGTTTCTAATTTTTAAGACTATTTAACTGTAGACTCCTCCCTTTTTCTTCTTTTAATTCAAAAAGATTTTAAAAATGTGATTTAAAAAATTCATTAAAAAAATATTTTTTTAATATTTATATTTGCCTTGGATGCCAATTAAAGATTATTGATATAAAACTGATATTTCATCTATGACGATTCAATAATATACGTTTCGAATGCATGTAAACAAGATAAAAATGCATTCAATCAAATAATTGCTTTTATTTTTCTTTAATAGATAGAAAATTTAACTGTTCACGTTAAAAGCAAGATTCATGATTTGTTAGTTTTGCGTGAAAATTTCCCCGCGGAATTATTTGATTAGCAAGATAACGTAGCAGAGCGAAGGTTTAATTGTTTCACAAATTAATGAAATGCCGCAACAGAGAATGCCATAATTCAAGATAATGAAAGATGTATGCACAAGTATCTAAAATTTTCAAACAAATATTTCACGAACATTCAAATTTTTTAGTAGATTCTGCAAAAGTTGTAAAAGTAAAAAATAAAACAAATGATTTTCCAAAAGAGCTGAATCAAATATATTGCGCCGAATTTTCATATATTGACTTTCCCAACCAAGTAACGATCAAATATTAACTTTCGCAAATCAAATAACGCTGTCGGTTTCGAAATTTCACTAGTTATGATAAGGTACGATAATTATTTGAAATTATTTTCACGTATCGACTAGAAATCACCTCGATTACATGTATCAATTTCGGAAACAAAACATTATATCGTGCAACTATAATTGAAGACCGGAAAGAGATGTTTGTAAGAATGAATGGTTAGTATCAAGCTGATTCAGCGGTGCAACCGATATTTCCGGAATGAACCGGATATTTGGGTCACGCTGATCAAGTGTGGTGAACAATCTAGGAAATAGCAGGTTACGGCCGGATGTCGTGCCAAGTGGTTAGATTTAAAGCGTGACATGAAATCGCCCTGAGTGTGAAACGACCGGCCTGTTATCGAAATGTTTCGTGCGTCTTGCATGTGTTGGCATAAAAATTCATTTATCTTAACTTTTCTTTAAATTTTTTATACAGTTAATGAATGAAACAGCAATTTACACTCGATTTAATTGCAACTTCCAAAGTTAGACTTTATCTAAATAAAATTATGTCGCAACACAAGCTCTCTTGTAAAAGATAAAGATATACTTACATAGAAAAGTGAAATATGACGCAGAGTGACAGATGAATTTGATAAATGGCTTCCTCATGGTTTTGCCGATCATGCTATGGGGTGCAATAATATAAGCTACGCTGAAGAACGGGAAAAGGACGCCGATCCTGACGATCTCCAGCGCCTGGAGGAACATGTTCTTCCTTCGAAACCCCGGCAGACCCTCGTACCAGATCGATGCCAGTAGCTGCTGCACGTTAGGATGCGCTACGAACTGGAAATATCCAAGCGATATTGACCGACAGTTTCCGGTCATGCGATTGGGAGAAGGTGGCAGCCTCTCACGCAATCAAAATTTGAACTGCAATTACTATCTTCCAAATGTCATCCTTAATTATCACACACTAACGAACGTTTTACGCCTTTACTCCTTTAATCGTTTAATCAAATTAAATAATCGATTATTTTTACGTCTATGCTCCAAAAGCTGCACTAATGTTACAATAATTGATGATAAATTTGCGATATAATTGTTACTTTACATATTTGAAATGGTGAAAATGTCTCGATAAAATATGATTAAAAAGTTGTAAAATAAAAAAATTTTCACATACATCAAAGCTCCAACAGATACAATCATAAAATACCAGAGAAAAAACTTTTTAAATGAAATTAATTACAATAAAAATTAGTTATAGTAAAATTAATTATAACAAAAGTTTAAATAAAATTAAATATAATAAGAAACCTTTTAAATAAAATTTTAGTAAGAAATAAATTACATTTTGAAACAAATAGACCCAAACGGAGTTAAATCTTTATTGTAGTTATTTAAATTTTTTTCAGTGGATTCTCTTATATTGTCGCTTCACACGGGAATTGCAAACCGAGAAAAAATTCGCGCGCTTGACAAATTTAAATAATTATATTCGCAAATGCGGTTTTCATTATCGAAGACAGCAAAATCTATTTCTAATTCCGTATCAGGTATAATTTTAAAAAATTGTGGGGTTTACGTCTTTTCATTCGCATTCCGTACCTTCTTTTGTCTTAGCTTAATGGCTAATTTTAAGCGGTTAAGATGCATCCTCTCTCCGTGCTCAAAAGCTGGTCCCGTTGGGTCGTGATTTAGCAGGACTTCAAGCTCGTAGGAACTTCTAGTGTGGTCCAGTAATGCGGTTGCAAAGTCTTGGCACTGTCTTCGGAGTTCCTGAAATCACCACGACAGTTGCTGCCAATCATAATACCGAAATGCAATTTCGAATGCATTCTCTCCGAAGCATCTAATTTCCTAAGGCCGCTGAAAATAATTCTCCTAATTTCTCTCGTAATTTCAGAGATCTCGCTCGCAATTGCTCGATATTCCTAAGGAAATTCGGTAGATTCTCCGCGTTGTCTCTTGCGTGTCGGGAATTGCGAGCCGAGAAAGAATTCGCGCGCTTGACGAAGCGAAATCGAGCTTCCAGGGTTTCTGCAAAATCGACAAGCACGCTCGAGTTCCTATCCTAATCGTTCCCAGTCTTGCCTCGACTTCAACTGAATTTTCGTTTTACGCACTCACGTGGATATAGGTGTTTCTGTTATGTGTCCTGCATTGTTAGCCGAAAATCGCCGCGAAAAGTTATACTCAACTTCATAAAAAAGCAAATGATGAGAAAATTGTGCCGCTATAATATATTTTCTTTTTCGATTGCCAGGCAAATATTTACATTACCCATCGATTGAGAATTTGTGTTTCAAAACATTTCGTACTTCAGTATAACGATTTTCGGTTTCATAAAATTGCTCTTTTGATCGAGCATATCGGGTTTTCTTATGTCGTTATTTTTTACAGTTCAATATACGTGCGACACAAAAGAAGCCAAAGAGCAACCTAGTATGAGTGATCGACGTGATTGTAAGGTTACACATCTCCTATCTGGAGAAGATCCTCGTTACTCCAAATTGTCTGCAACATCAAGTTACAAACCTTCCATCTCAACGACATGTCATAAACTGAAGTTATTTTGTGGGACGTGAAGATATACAATATGATATTTAACGTGTTCTTCAATATTTTCCTACGAGAAATGTATCCTTTTTCGACACATGCAGATACGCCACATAAAATTTAATATATTCAATCAATAAATATATTGAAAAAGAATTTATTAAATTTTAATAAATATTTGTTTGAATACTGACTAAATATGTATTTGATAAATATAAACATATATTTATTTGGTACAAGGATTAACTCGATTTAAGTATCATTGATTTTTATTGATAAATATTTATTTACTATAAGTAAATGTTTCATTAGTATCTACTATTTAAACAAATATTTATTACAATTTAATAAATTTTTTTTCAGTATATATTTAAAGTGGATAAAAGATTACAAATACAATTAACCCTTAAACGCCTTTTCGATATAATATACTTGGCTTTCTTTTCCAATGCTTTTTCAATGTTTTTTTCATTCCTTACAATTTTTTTATTAATAAAAATACATGCATTCTCTTAGTACCTTATGTTCCTTAATGTCTGATGTTTCAATTAAAAAAATTGTTTCCAATATGTTTATTTTTATGAAAATTATAAGCAATTGAACTGGGTTTTGCATATTGTTATATCCAAGTGTATTGTTCCCGTAGTGTGTCATCTAAGAGTTAACTTCGAAAATAACGAATAAGGATAAAGCAAGAAAGAATGGAAGAAAAACGGGAAGCATTTGCGACAATTTATCACAAGCCTCATTCACTTTACTTTCGAAGTCGTCTTCATCGAGTTGGTACGTCAAGATCGGCACTTGAGAGATGGGGAACGATACAATAGCAAAATGGGAGTAAAAAGACGGAGTTTTCCAAAGAAAAAAAGGGTGAATAAGGAACAGAGGGTCAAAGAAATGAGGCTGATGACGGTGTTGAAAGGGTACAAGGAGGGCTATAGAGGAAACCGGAACGTTGACGAGGCTGAAAGGGAGAACAAAGGGTGTGGCAGGGAAACTATAAAGCAACTCAATAGCGCCGCTGCTCAGTATATTACTACTGTGAAGTGCGATTTATGCGTATATAAATCAAAAGTTCCTTGAGCGTGGTGAGCACTTCAACTTTCACCACTTAAGCACCGTAAAGAATCGGGAAAGAGAGAAGCTAACATAGAACTTCGCGAGGAATGCGCTCGAGCAGAACTTGAGACGAAACGAACGGAAAGGAAAGCATGGGTGTACATCTGCACGACCGCTGAATTAAGGAAAACACGTGTTAACTGCTGTGGCTCGCTAAGCGAGATAAATTTGTTTCGTAAAACCGGAACACCGCTGTGAAGGAAGAAACATCGCCGAAGGAAGCAACGCGTGTATCTTAATCTGTAGCTTGGAAAGCGAGTAAATCGTTCGAAGAAGTTTTGATCATTTAACTACCATATATTCATGATATATGAAGAGTTATAATATGTAATTTCCAGAGTTGGAAAAGTTACTTAAAGTAGTTAATCTAGATGCTACATGAATTAATCAAATAAGTAAGGAAAAGGCTAACATGGTGGATGCGGAGATTTTGGTACATATAAATAATATTTTTAAATGTCAATTCTAAATCTTTCAATTATATAAACTACTCGCTGCTTACTGTTAGATTTGAAATGTAATTATAAAATCAAGCTGAAATAATATTATAATTGAATTGATTATCGAATTAGTAATAACTAATGCCTTAAAACTTTATAAATAATTTATTGAGAAAATTATTATCTCAGCCAGGTTATTTTATAAAAATATAATTCATTATTATTACTATTTTTTTTTAATAACTAATTAATGTTGTTTGTCACTGTTTTAAAAAAAGTACCTTAATATCGATAACGTTATTAAAAAATTAACAAATTATTAATTTACAATTTTCGTTTATCGAATTTTAACGACGTTTTTTTTAAATGGCATCCAATTGTCTATGTTACTTATTGACTTATAGTTCAACAGGAAATCTATGATTATGTGATTAATCGCAACATAATCAAACGTAACACTTTCTTCTTTCAAAACTCATTTATGCACGTTCCATATACATATACATTTGTACGAAGTAATGATAAAAATAACGATTATTACTCGTTATTATTACCAAAAAAATGGAACGGTGATACCATTAACGGTATTACAAATAAGGAAACGTAACACATCATTACCTATTCATTACTGAAAAAAGTATAATTGCAATAGTAACAAGATTGAAAGTACCTTTCCTAGTAATTCCAATGCGATAGTATTTTGATTTTTTTTACTTCTTTTTTACTTTCGAAATAAGACTTAACGAGTATCGTTTATATTTATATATATATATATATCTCAAGTAATAAACATTATAAATAATAAATAAAACATTTTTTAAATGCTTTCAAAAAAATGTTAATCTATGACGAATTGTTAAAACAACCGTTAGATTGTTGCGTATGCAAAATGTCGATTTTATGTGATCTTCAAATAATTTCTGAAAAAGTAATTTACAATTTATTATCGAAAAATCGCAAACATTTGACAGCAAGTGAAGTATGTTTTTACAAATAAAATACGTCATTCGATGTTTGTTTTAAAACGTTGCATAGGTAAAATTGAAAGTTTTGGCATCAAACATTTGATACGCAAAAATCCAATGAAATATTATTTAGGAATATTCATGAATATAGAAAATATATCAATTTCTTGCCTGATATTCGCACTTGAATTCGTGCTCCAAAAACGAAAGTCGTCGAAGTTCCCAAGAGAGTTCAAAAGCAGTCAGGATAGGATCCTTAGACGACAGTGCTATCAAAGACGGCGACGCCAATGCCCGATAGGCGTTTATTCGGCTCCTCGAATGCCTCAGGGAATCCTCCATTCTCGATGTCACGCACTCGTCGCATCTAAAAGAAATAACAAATAGCAACAACAAGTCGAAATGAAAACGACTTGGTGACACACTGCCTGGCGTTCACCGTTTTCTCTAATATTTCCCAAGACGGCCATGTGTCTCGCGATGTTACATCATCTTTTACGTTGAGAAGATCTCTTTTATCAACCTTTCAACCGTTATGCGACGAAAAGTCTAGCTTCGAATTGAGAAAACGCTGACCGCTATATATATTTCTTTTTATATCACGAGTATATGAACAAAATAAATAACTTTAGACATACAAAGAGACGACTTTAAATAATACTTTTTGCGTAAATTTCGAGCAAAGGAACGCTATTTTTCGAACAAAAGCTGCGCACTATGGATGATAAATGTAAGTACTGTGCACTCGGTACAGCTTTTGTCCGAAAAATGGCACCTCTTCACGCGAAACTGCTACGAAAAATATTGTTGTTCAAAACTGCCCCGTTTGAAACTACTCCTGTATGTACGAGTGTTTTAGTCGAGCAAATACATATCGTTTTCACATAACGCATTACGACGCAATATAAAGTTCTTCCTCTGCTTTTACCAATTTAAAAAATTTTCTGCAGTTTCAATGCACGGAAGCTTAATGTAATGCGATTATCACAGATTAAATTTTCTCTAGAGAGAGATTATAGTAACGCGGCATTTATGTACGCTTAGCCTAATTTAATTACGCTTTTGTCGCGTTTGTATACAAAGGAATAAGACGATAAACCAGCCGAGGAAATCAATTAGCCAAAAAGAGCGCTCTAGTTAAGGATCAACGATCGAGCACTTTTAAAGCATTTATAAAAAGTTAACTTTGTTGAAAGATAAATATCAGAATTTTTTAATATTTACATAAAATATTCATATACTTTTGTTATCTATCATCTAATTTTACCTTCTACTTACTAAATAAATAGGATATTTCAGGAAAGTTAAATTATTATTAAAACAAACGTTTCGATTTTGTATCACAAATATAAACGCTCCAAAAGATTAATTTTCTTTCATAATCATAAAAGAGCGTTTAATGAATCTTCTTACCCACAGCGAACATCGTGTGGCATCGGCAGAATCGATCCACGATCTAGGAGAATTTTTATAATTTCGTAGTTGTCCCTGTGGGCCGACAGGATCAATGGCGTAATGTCTGGCGTGAACGTGGCTGTATCAGGAGGTAGAGCCTCCCAGCTCTAAAGAATTAAACCGCAAGTCATTACTTTTATAAAATTTTGTCGCTTGACAATCTCTCTCACACGCACGTACAAGCAATTTTTCATTTAACTCCTTTGGTTTAAAACTATTATCCACAGATCGCTTTTTGCAGTTATTGCTCTTCAAAGAAAACGACATAGTGATGGCAAAAACTATAAAAATGACAACTGTACACGTTTTATACGTATAGAATTAATGTACATATATAATATAGTCAAATAAACTATTTTATAATCAGTACAATTATAAAATAATTTATTCAATTATATGTAAATTTATTTGTATATACAATTTAATAACTATATTAATTCTACGTACATAAGACTTGTTTAATGGTTAAACTTGTTTAATCATCTTTAGTTGCCATCACTCTGTTTTTCTTTAAATGTTTGTCAAGTACATAATTGGCATCTGAATTGTAACAAGTTTCGATAAATAAAATAATATCAAATATCAATCATAACTTGATGAAGTGGAGTAATAAGTAATAAGTCGACTAAATAAAGAATATTTTTTTCGCGTAACAATCGACAAATAATCTCTCTTGGTGCAGACTTGCGCTGCCATTGTACCAGCATGATCGGTTTAATCAGTCATCGTCACGGGTGGTAACCTCTTTCTTCACAGGGAACCAATTCTCCCCATATAATGAATTCGTCCGGTCCTTTCGGACTCATTTCGGATATCATTCCGTTGAAGTTCTGCGAAAGCTGATTTCTCGTTAAATCCGATTAGAGCTCGGTTCGAAATTTCGTATTCTCCTACTTTTTCCTATTGCAGCCTCGTTCCCGCTCTACCCGATTTCTTTCATTGCCGTCACAAATGACTTTATACTTTGAAGGAATCGTCTTTATGGCAGAGAGGGTAAGACTACTTGATAGCGGAATAAAGTATGGAAAAATCGTTTGTGGAGCAACTGACACGACAAGTAATCGATTTACGAACTTCAATCAGCTTTTATCTACATATTTTACCTTCCCGAACGACGCTTGTGTTAGATTATGCTACTACAGATAGGTAGACGCAATATAAAAGTTCGATCGTAAAACTAGAATATAGGTACATTATTCTATATACAATATATATGTGGGACGTTTCGCGTCAAGCGGATCACCTCTCCTTCCAAAATTTAACGCAACGGGAAAAAACGTTCAAAGTCTCAAAATATTCGCACATTTATATACTTTTGAATGAAACGTGGCCTTTTGAAAAATTCAATATGGCGGCTCAAATATGGTGTCTGAAATCCGCATAAGTCACGAATGTTCTTACAACATCGTCGATTTAAATGCGAAAACTTGACGAATTGGCTTGAAAATGATTACTATAAATGATTACAAAAACCTAGAGATAGAATTATAAAGTTCAACATGGCGGATTTGGAATCAGTACATAAAACTTTAAAGTGTCATAGTTTATAATTGTTGTTTATGTCGAGTCTAATACTTTATAGCAACCATTGCTTCAATAGCATCAGAGTATCGCATTACTTGCAAGCCGATTCGTCAAGTTTTCGCATTTAAATCAACGATGTCGTAAGAACATTTATGATTTTTGCGGATTTCAGACACCATATTTGAGCCACCATATTGAATTTTTCAAAAGGTCACGTTTCATTCAAAAGTACACAAATGTGCGAATATTTTGAGACCTTAAACGTTTTTTTTCCGTTGCGTTAAATTTTGGAAGGAGAGGTGGTCCACTTGACGCGAACGTCCCATATATATACATATATCACGTAAAAATGTAGCAAAACCATTATTTAATTAAAAAACTCGATCTGTGTTACTTTACGACAGTATGGTTGGCTTTTATTATAATTAAAACAAACCAACGTATAATTGAAATATATTTTTTTAATAATATAATTTTAATTATAATTTAAAAAATTAATATTTACATTTTTTAAAATCATATAAGACTCTAATATTGTACGTTATATTAAAACAAAAAATAAACGAAGAACATAATTTAAATACAACAAAGAATATTTACATTTTTTCAAATCATATAAAACTGATTAATAAATTATATTATACGTAATTATTATTCTCTCTCTCTCACACACATATACACACACTTTCATTCAGATATAAAAGATGTCGATACAGACGCTTACGTGTGGCTCGCCATTCCTGTGAAGGGTCTCCTCATGCTCTAAAAGGACCTCCACTGCTTCAACGAATTCCTCGGAGATAGCATGAAGAAGAGCATCCTTGGTATCGACCTTGTGCTCTATTAAAAGCTCCACCATCTCTAGATTTTCATTATCGATCGCCATGAGGAGGGCCGATCGTCCGAGAGGATCCACGCAGTTAATGTTAATGTCGGCCTCGTGGGCTTTTTGGAGCATTCTGTAGTGACAGGAGGGTATTTGGAAGATTGATGAATTGCCGTGTAGGATTCGTACGTATAAACATTCGTATATAGAAAATCCCAAAATTATCGGATATCCTTTTAGCAAATTACCATGGTTAGGAGAAATAATTTTTCTGAATAATATCGATCGAAATATCGTTTATTAGATCTTTTCAATTTTTAGCATTATATATATTTGCAAATATATGTTTCAAATTAAAATTCTATTAGATATTTGGAATTATCTACAAAATTTTGTCATTTATTTTTTAAACTTAATTTAAACTTCATACTTTTAATCGATAATTATTTAAAAACTATAAGTGCTTCAATATTTCTGTCAACTAGAATTTTACTGCAGCAAAGAATTTGTAATAGGTAAAATATTAGATAACTATGAGACTTATACAACTTTTAAAATAATTATTTGATAATATAACTTTATCAAAAGTTAAAAAAACCTGTCCTTTTCAAATGGATTTGACTGCTTCTTGTTAAAATCAGAACAGAAAAGCGATGTCAAATCAAAAGTTATGACTATAAATTATAACGGAGGAATTTCGCGAGAGTGGCAAGTTAATCATAGATAGCAATCAGCTTCAATTACGGTAACATGAAAGCATAGCAGGCAGAATTCTTGAAAGTTTCAAAATCGCGCAAGCAAGCTTTATAAGATAATTAGAAGATTTTGTGCCATACATGCGTCGAGCGGAAGTTCATTTATTTGAAGAATGTGACGTAGTATACGCTAATTATTTTTTACAATAATATCATGATGCATTGAGTAATAATAAACCAAGAAAAAATTTTAAAGGAGTAGCTGTGCCTATTTTAACTTTTTATATAAATCATACGTATTTTTACAAATATTGTAAGATTTTTAAAACTTACAATATTTATAAAAATCATATGATTCTATATATATATAATACATATTTTTATAGAACATGCACGCCAAAGTTAAATTTGTCCGTTTCTACAATGTAGATTAATTAATTTAATCTCGCCCTTAAGAAAAAGTGTTTCAATATACTGATTAACTATTCAGTAACTGAATAGTTAATCAGTATATTGAAATACTTTTTCCCAAGAACGGTTTAACTAATTTTTCATGTTTTCCAGTTTTAAGAATTAAAAAAAGTTATAAAAGTAATTAAATCAAGATTAAAGTTAATCTGGGTAGAAATCAACATTCTATAAAATATAAGACTTGTTTCGGAAAGTTCAAGTGAAATAAAATTTCTACGTAATGTTGCGACACAGTTAACTTCCATGAAAAAGTTTATTGCAATTAACTTTTATTCTTTCTTTTTTTTTGTACGGAAGAAGTTTTCTGTCCTTCCTAGATATCTGCTCGCACAACAAATCCCACATTCGACACAATTATCTATTTTCGTTAACAGTAGCACGTGCACGCGTGTCAGCGCACGTGTCTAGATATTTCTTATAATATACCTCTATTAGGATAACGAGGATGTACGATAATCGACTCTTAATTCGCGGAATAAAAGGATGAAAAGATAGAGAAGCTTGTAGGGATACACGTGTGCATCGCGTAAGAATACACGTGTATGAAATGCAAACAAGATGAAACTCGTTCCATATTTGTATATAAATATTATTTCTTTACTTAAATAAATGTTTTATATATGTATATAAAAAAAAATCTTTTCTTCTCTTCTATCTCTTTTTTCTTCTCTTCCTTTTTTTAATAAACACATGCAATGTTCTCAGGCTATCAAAAAACAGCATATCTGCCTGGAAAGAGTTTTATGTTACGAAAATTTCATTGCGGTGCATACATCAATGTAAAGTGAAATATTAAAAATAAATATACATCTAATTAAACAAGAAATTCATTCATTTTTTCGCCTTGTATTCTCCTTTGCTAATAGAAAAGTAAAAAATATTTATAAATTTTTAACTATAAATTTCAACTGACCTTCTAACGGAAGCCACGTCTCCGCGCTCGACAGCGAGAAGATATTTCTTTTCCTGAAGCGACAGGCTGGCCATTTCCTGATGAGGTCTCACGACGTTCTCTTCCTCCATCATGCCGTGTATACTGTGCCTCTATAAGCGTAATATTTTTATTTTATTTATCTGAACGTATCTATACATTTAGACGGAATAGTGAGGGAATTGCGGATATGGGGTAAATATGAACGATACTGTTGCAGTATATCAGAGTACCAATAACCTCTCATTACTCGCATCCAATGATAGTCTGATGTACACTTACAATTAGTGCGGCAATATAACGTGATTGTAAAATACACACACCGTTTAAGATAAATATCATTAAGTGAGTATGATTTTCGATGATTCTGATGTAGAAGAGAATCAGGGAATTTGCGAGTACCTAAGGAAAAAGTCAGATAAAACCGAAAAGAGTATCAATTATTGAAGTCTTTATTCAAAGAATGTTGACCTTAAACTACAATAATTAATATTTATATATTAGTGTTACAATTGATATTTATATATTTATGTATAAACTATAGTATATATATATATATGTATATATATATTTTTTTAAACAAAAAAATAAAACTGATTCACGCTCTGCGTGCTGAATAATTTTAAACAAAAAGTATTTTATTTTATGTTTAACATTATATTAATTTGTATTAATATATATTAATTTATAATGATATATTAATTTGTATTGATAACATATGAATGTTAATTATGTATGTTTAAAGCAATAACTAGAGTATCTTTCAAATAAAGACTTTTATTAATTTATAAATAAAGCGTGTCAAAGCAAAACGTGGTGCCATTTTATAAATTTTTCAGACTGAAGGAAGAATTTATTTTCTTGAAAACTATCACTTAAAAAAATTTTACAATTTGTTGTTATTGTAATTCATGAAAACGCTTATAAACTCGAAAGTTAATAAACGGTCCTTCTAAATTTTATAAGATATATTAGGAGTGGGACGTTACGGCGTATTGTTTATAATGCAAATCTTGCACGGAAGAGAGTTCTTTTGGAAGACAAACAGCATTTCTAAAAACGTAATTTCCGTGGCTATCGCCTACGCGAGAGAAACGCGAAGACAGTCATATTTCTCAGTGTTACATCTTTTTCTGGTGCAGTGTTTCTTTAGCAACGCACGAGCATCCGTGTCTCTAAATGATTTCGCCTCGTTTTACAGTATACTATTATAATTGTCGCACTGTTTGAAACGCGTGTTAAGTTATACAAATTTCGTCTAGTGGCCCTAGCCTCATTTTCCACCGTCATTGTACCGGTCATGCACGATTCAACGCTCACTACGTGATTTTGCGCCGCGCTCACGCGGAAGTTGCATACCGAATCTGGAGCGAGCGTATGCGTTCGTGTGCAGGAGTGTAGTTAACGAGGTGAAATGCACCCAGTTTCGAGGATCAATTGTGTCTCTCATAACTGTGTTCGAGGAATGCAGCGTATCATTACATACTAGCACAACGCGTGTTTCACATTACGATTGGTCGTTTGCTTTGAACTACGAATCCTTTCCACTGATTTTAATTAATTATTCTTCAGTTATTATAATTAATTTAGTCGTACGCGACCCTTCTTATACAATCTTTTTTCCTAATACGATATATCGCACACAATATATCGTAATATAGATATTATATATTTGCTCTAATTGTTTCATGTTAAATATTTTTTTAATTAAACCAAGTATCCGAAGGCTACAAAAATTAAAATTTAAATAAGAAGCAACAAAGAGCAATGAGCCAAGCACGATGTCAGTACATAATATTATAATTAATATATTGACAAAGTCCCATGGGATTTTGATTTTATATTTGACTTTATCAATATGCTAATTATATTGTAATATTGTGGTTAGCTTATTGTGTTCTATGTTGTTTAAATATTTTAAATCTTGGTTTAAACAAAATGCTATCACTTGGGTTGAAATAGAATTATTTTTGTGGAATTCAAGAACATATATTACTTGAGTTGAGTAATGTAACGCAATTATGTCCGAAAAAAATAGTTTTGTTGAAATATTTAAAAATTTAGCTAGATACAAGTTTAAAAATAATTTTATTTGGACCATCAAAATAATTATGTAGGACGCTAAAACTTGTTGCTAGAATGCTAAAACTTTTTGCAGCATTGCTTATCATACTCAAGATTCCTACGTAATTATTTTGATGGTCTAGCAAAATTATTTTTAGATCTGTATCTGATTAAATTTTTCGATACTTCAGTAAAACCATTTTTTTTTGTGTGGGACTATAACTTGGCGTTAGTTATTGCTATCAAATTTTTTATACAATTGATATATTTTTAAAAATGAAATATAGTACCACTTAGGTTTAATTTTTTAATTTGATACAGATACAACAGATTTTTATTTAAAGAGCACATTTATAATGACACTCTTTTTAAATCGTAATTAAACGTTACAGATTAATATTTCGTTAATATAAAATTTGTTCGAGATTAAGTTGAAATTAAATTGTTCTCTCCATAGTGTTTTCATTATCTATTCGTATACGAAGATTTAATTTATTAGTATTAATCTTGCTGTATTTGTCATTAAACTGGATTCAAGGTAATATTTTAGAATAGCTTAAAGTTAATATTGAAATTACAAAGGGGAACGAGAAGAGCATAAAACTTTATCACGAAAATGTAAACCGAATTATCGTCGATCGTACAAATTATGTTTCATCATTGACGCGTATATGCATTTCGTTTGATCCTATTTCGCATAAAGGCCATCAATAAAATGTGCTTATTGTTAGCAAGTACGTTTTAATTGTCGCTCCCTCGTACCGTTTATACATCTGATGCGCAATCAATTTTACATTGTCATAAACAGGGCTGCATTGAGGCAGCATCGAGGCAACATCGAAGCAGACATCAGACCGTGAATTAGCTGTTTTATTATCGATTATTGAAAGTTATTGAAACATCGCGTTCGCCGATATGTACGCGCGCTTTCCCTCGCAACAAATTCATCCGTCGTGATATCTGTCGTTTGGCACAGAGATAGTGTCTGTACATTGTTCGAAATACAATCCATAAATGTCGGACACGTATGCGACGTATCGCGGATACACACTCGCGCATAATTCAAACGCAAATCTTGATTCAAGGGCCTACGTTGGTATTTTGCATGATCGGGGGGGGGGGGGGGGGTGAGGGACGAATATGCGGTCGAATGGCGAAAAAGAGTCTTATGTTAGCGAGCTGTAAAGGCAAGCGTATGATAGACGGTGTTTGCCGAGGGTGCGCCGACAATTAAGGTGCGCCCTTATAGTAAACACTCGTCAGTGCTGGCCTTCGCAGTATTATATTCTAGTATCTCGAGTACGATGTCATGTTATAGAATATACACCTTTTTCCTCTACTTGAGTCTGCTTCCGCGTCTTCTCTTCTCGCCCTTTGTTAAATAAACTATAGTCTGCGTTCTTAACCACCGACTCAAAAATCTGAACATGTACACTCCTATTATCTTACAGGGAAAGATTTTGCTGAAGTATGTAAAAATTAGTTAGATACAGATCCGAAAATAATTTTGTTTGGACCCCCAAAATAATTATATTGAAAGCTTAAACTGGTTGTTACACGAAAAGAACCATTTTGCTGAAATATCTAAAAATTTAGCTTGATACAGATCTGCAAAATAATTTTGTTTGAACTATAAAAATTATATAGGACGCTCAAACTGGCTGCTAAAACATTAAAACTTTCTGCAGCATTGATCAACATTTAACCGTTCTGCCTAATTATTTTGATGGTCCAGCAAAATTATTTTCAGATCTGTATTTAACTTTAAATACTTTAGCAAAACTGTTCCTTCCCTATAAGAAGCTTGAAAGTTATAAATATAAGACATGAAAAATATATGTGATAGGAAATTTGTAATATATGTAAAGCATCTCGTAATTATACATGTAATTATTCTTAATTATAAACTCTAGAACGTATTTAATCTGTACGTTTGACCTATCTCACACGTTTTATCTACCTCTGAGTATGTTAAATTATTTTTAAGCTGGTTCTATTTCTCTGTATTCCTTTTGCTTTAAATTAAAATGTTTTAAATTAAAACGCAGTTTTTAAAGACGCGACCTAAAGGCAAATAATTTTTCATAGCTCCCGTCGAATCTTTCTCAAAGTTCTAAAATGTTTTCGGATTTTATCGTATTTTGTCGTAAAATTTATTACAGATTTGGAGTACACGAGGGAGAGCAAATCCCGCCTTGCGCGTGAAGTGTATCGACGCCCCCAATCTCGGATATTGATTTCCACTTTACGAGAAAGATCCCTCATCGTTATTTTTTGAGGCGTTTGTTTTCATACAATTCAAATCTCAAGAAAGGGAAGTTTGAAAGCGAAATTTTGGTTTGGCGGGAGAATTCTTTAATAGGGGATTTTTCCTCAACACGAGAAGTTGTTTTCAACCAGATAGTTTTACAAATAGAATTAAATCCACAGGCAGGAAAACATGGGAACGCCCGCTAACCGTGGTATTTCGTTCTACCATCATGAATTAAATGCTCCGCTTCAATGCTTCGTTACGCGAAACACTGGAAAGGATTTCGTGTTTCAGAGCAGCGTGCTCTTGGCAAGTAGACACTTAACGTGGTCTATAAATCCCGTCATTAAGAAATCATTCGACTTGCAATGTACAGTTCAAGCATTTAATGCTATAAATTTTACAATCATCGCAATCAACAGCATATACATTTATTCTGTTTGAAAAATCTCATTTAGAATTTAGGAATTCGAATAATAGTTTATATTTTAGATAATAGATATAGGTCAATCAATAAGTAACTTTAATTTTACCAAACAATCAAGGTGGTAAAAATTAAGGTTACTTATTGACTTATCCATGTATTCTATAGAGAAATCTTGTTATATTTTACTACTGTAACAACAAGAAATATTTAAAGTGATAAAATAAAGAATTTGTCTCTTTATATTTAAAAAAATCGTTTGACATAAAAATTATTTATTTTAATAATAATTTAAATAAACAGTTTATTGAAATTTTCACCTATTAGTTATTATTTAAAAAATTACGTTTTTATTTATCTTAATTAAGGCAGTTGTAAATAAGACATACATGTCTCCCACAACTCACTTTGTATATATCTTGTTCAGGCAGTATTTACTATTTAGTTCCGACTACACCTACCTGTCTGTATTTGGATTGTATTTCTACTGTCCCCGTGTTCAACTGTCTCCATATGCGCCGTCTCCACGTACAATCTGTAACCACTGCCTCTGTGTCTGACTAAACTGTCTATCTACTATTCACGCCTCGCATTCGTGACGGCCTACACTGCATCAGTGATATATATGTACGTTCTCTATGGTGATATATATATATATATAATGAAGGAGAGCACGAATTTCACTGATACAAAACTCAAAATTAAGTAACGAAAAAGCCTTATTGATCTGAACTGGATCTTAGTTCTTAAATAATATTTCGATGTAAATTTATACACACGTCCACAGTTCTGTAAATTGCGCGCCGAAATAACTTTCGGTCTTGAAACACAATCCTAAACTAAAATTGGGATAATAATATCACACATTAAACTGACAAGCAATTTCATGATATTTAATAAGCTAATTAGCATTTTTTAAAAAGTGTAAATAATTTATTGTAAAAAATATCATCTCAGCCAGAATTCAAATCTGGATTTCTCTACTAGTTTTTAATATATTATTTACGGTTTTTTGACGCTTGTTATCGTGAGTATAATTAAACTCCTTGTCAATTTAATGTGTGATATTACTATTCCAATTTCAGTTTAAGATTGTGTTTCAAGATCGAAAATTATTTTGACACGTAGTTTACAGAACTGGATATAATATACATATAAATTTCCACACTGAAAAAAATGTCTGGATGAAAATCGGCAAACGAAAAGATTCTAATTCCAGTTTTAATCAGAATTCCAATTAATCTAACCTACATTTTTCTTAGTGCATCGAGATATTATTTAAATACAATACTAACATCCAGATTAATAAAGCTTTCTCGTTACTTAGTTGTGTATTCATATGCGCTCTAATGGCATTTATTGTTGTCCAGACAAAATCTTTGATAGAAAAACAGCAACAATTTTTTTTCAAAATCGAAGCATTTATATCGATGCAATTAATAGAAGGCTTTATATACGTATTATGCATAATAGATCACACAATAAAAATTTCCCGAACGAAAATAGTTCGGCTGCCGTGATTAAGAATTGAGAGAGACGTTGGGTTTGGAGTCTTTTCTTAACCAATGCTAATTCTATCAAACATTGACTACCGTGTTATTCAAAGCTCGACGAGGGTGGTCACGAAATTCGGTCACGTAATACACCAGGATTCAGTAGCTGCGGTTTCGCTGCGCGAGCTCACTCGAGGACATTTACGAGGCACTAAAAGATGAAAGCAGCTCGCTCGCGTTTCTCTCTCTCTCTCTCTCTCTCTCTCTCTCTCTCTCTTTCTATGGAGCTTTTTATCCCTAAATAGATTAAACGCATGTTTCACAGCACGACGTGTGCAAAGTGCGTGTTATGATGGCAAAGCGTTACGAGAGTGCAATCCTGAGTCGGCGAACCTAATCCTGAAAACGTAAAATCAAAGGATCGGAAGATCTCGTTTGCCTGTCGTTCTTATCTTTTTCCGGAAATGCAACCTGCCGTTTTTATGAGACAATAAAAACAAACGTTTCTAACAACTACTCAGCATGAATTCCCGAGAATGCGCACGTATCTGCCTCGTATTTTATGTATGTCTTCGACGCATGGGGAGAAGAAGAGGATGTTACGAAGGAACCGATTTCTTACCTAAAATGTGTAAGTAAAAGGAATAATGTTTTTTGTAGATTTTGACATCCTCGATACGATAAAATTATTAAAAAGTTATTCGTGTACTTTCTAAAACTTTTAGAGTAAATCTCACTTTGAAGAGTGAAATCTCACTCTTAAAGATTCAAAATTGAATCACTCTTTTTCAAGACACAATTTTCACTCTTTTGAAATTCTAAAATTTCCAAAAAAATTTAAAGAGTAGCGTTTGAGGAACATTTTGAAAATTGAGCACGAGAACATGGTATATTTATCCAAATTTCAATATTCTTGTTTAATTTTTGAAGTGTTCCTTAAACGTCACAAACTTTTTAATGACTTTATCGTATCCACGAGTTCAAAATTTACAAAAAATTATATTTCCTTTACTTACACTTTTTTTGGAACATGTTAAAAAGAGCTGAATTTTTGTTCTACAGGCTATAAATAAGAGAAATAATGTTTTCATAGATTTTCACTTCCTGGATACTATAAAGTCGTTAAAAAATTCGTGACGTTTAAAGAATATCTCGAAAATTAAGCAAGAATATTAAAATTTGGATAAATAAATACACCATGGTTCAATACAAATGCTACAAACTTTTTAATGACTAATTTTGTATTCAGATCAAATTCTATATATACAAAAAATATTATTTCTTTTTTATTTACCTTTTTAGGTACAAATTCCCTTTAACCAATTCCTTCTTTCCCAAACGGGATATTCTCCGGTCTATTCGATTAAGCTAACTTATGCCCTTTATAGCCATTTCGAGTCTTCCTTCTTTTCACCGCGAGGTGATATAATTAATTATCCACAACCGCACCGCAGAAAGCGATGTCGAGACCGAAGCTATTTGCAGATTCACTTGATCGCTAAATAATGCAGCTGCTAACCGAGCGAGCGAGAAATTCGGTCGAGAGGAGTTTGGCCTTATTCGAAGGCTAAATGTCTGCGCCATCGATCACATACTTCAGTTATATGGCTGATATTAAACACTCCCTGCCGGTCCTCGGGATCCTATGTACAAAAATAATCACGGTCTATCATCTGCCGTCGTCTGCGTTAAACATGGTTATCGAAACAGCATTAAGGTTTAATTTAACTTGACCCGACCGGGGTACCGGCTGCAACGCTTCGTTTCTTCCTGTAGACAGACGGGTAATGGCAAATCAAGAAGAGGCAAATCACTATCGCGCAGCAAACATCCGGGGAGACCCAATAAAAAAACGGTAGAAGAAGAGCAGCTCTTTCCTCTTCTCTTCCCTCCACAATTTTTCTTTTTTTATTTTTTTCTCACTCTTCCGTAATTCTCAAGCGGAGCACAAATTGGATCGGCATCGGAACGTCGTTATCGGCTGCCACCCTTTCTGTTTCTGCTCCCGTTTCTTTTGCTCAACTCGTCAAACTCGAGTTGTAGTTTCCCGTTGCAGCGACAAGGAAATTTATGCGGATGAAAACCACGACGGTGTGCTCGACTTATTTCCAACCCTCGGAAACCTATGACCCGATAACCTTTTCCCCTCGCTACATCATTGTCAGAATCACTTTAAATTTGTAATGGTATAACTGTTATCCCGCTCTAGTATTTATTATACCGAGAAGAGCGAAGCCAATAAAGAATATAATACATAAAACAAAGAAATTCAAATAAAGGAAATCGCAATGTTCTTAACGATGTAAAAAAATCCGTTTGTTTAAGGAAATAGGAGAATGCTGATGATCTACACTAAAAGTTAATTTTGCTTAATTAGATGCTGAGTTTAATTGGAAGTAATACGATCCAAGGTTAGAAAGTAACTTGTAATAAAGTTATAATTCTTTTTCAGTAACTTAATTTTGTTCTTTTTTTCATCTATAACTGTAATTTAACTCTGTTACACTTTTTGGTAACAGAGTTACCAAATAACTAATTAAATAATTACTTTTACAGTTACTTAATATTAAACTTATTCGTCAACACACAAACTGACCAAAACAAAGTACTCATTGAATACTCAATATCAGAACAAATGTCTGTATTAAGAATTAAGTAAGGATTCTTTTAGTATATAAACGCATCTCAATATTGATTTTATAATTTTGAATTCCAAGTGTAGACATTAATTTATTAAAAGTAAATAAATAGCGCGTATAATCGAATGTTTAGTCTAATAAATACAATAATGTTAAAAATGTATAAAAGCTCTTGTATTTAGAATAGTAATGTAAAAAATTATAAAAAATTAACAGAAAAGTAAGTAGAGTAACGATTCGTTACTTTTGTGAAGTAATTATAACTATAATGTGTTATTTTTTAGAATCAGCTACTTGTAGTTATAAGTTACTTTCTGAAAAAAATACTGTAACTGTAATTAGTTACTTTTACAAAGTAACTTTTCCAATTCTGTACGATGCTAACTATTTTCTGAAATTCTGCATTACTTCGTAAACAAACGGAAAAAAGGTTAATTTATTCTTGTTCGATGCGGTAAGCTCTCGAAACAACACACATTAATTTTGTTATTCGTATATTACCTTGACTTTCTTGTCAATTTCCGGTCGTTCGAGCAGACAGGTCGTCTGTACAACATGTGTTGGCGGCAATGGAGGCGCCTCGGGGTCGAAGTTCACGTGCTGCCCGGCGGAGCCTCGTAGGAAGCCGCCCGCGACGGCGGTGATTCGACCCCTGGTTGTGTCGGACGCCATTCTCAAGGGAAAATTGTTTGTGCCACCTCCTTGACCGTCGTCCTCTTCATCGATGTCTTCACCAGGGGTTGTGCCGCCCCTGGCGAACTGATCCTCATCTTCGTACGCGCTTTCTGTAATGTTAATTGAGTATCGTGTTATCATTATGATATCGAATTGCAATGCATATGTGTGTGTGTCTATGTGTCTATATTAGATTATATATATTACTTCAACTTCAAAACTCTAAATTTTATAAAATGCTCTTATACACAGAAAAAAAATGTTTTGCTGGAGTGTCTAAATATTTAGCTAAAAATAATTTTATTGGACTATAAAAATGATTATGTAGGACGTTCAAACTGGTTGCTAGAACGTCAAAATTGCAGCTATACTTATTATGCTTGAATTTCCTACAATCCTAATTATTTTGTTGATATCAAAGTATTTGTAAATTTATATGTCTATAGTTAAATGTTTAATGATACTTCAGCAAAAACGTTTTTTCCGTATATAATATAAACTTATTTCAATAATAAAATATTTTTATTTTTTTTTAATATTTTAATTTTAAAGCGACATAAATTTTTGTAAAAATTTATATACTTTAGTTTATAAAACTTGCTTAGCAGCATTAGCATTTGTCTAGATAATTGCTGTAAAATCGAAAATTAGAAAAAGTTGAGATGACTCAATAATCTCGAGATTATAGAAATGATTTGTGATATAAAATATATGCTTCACAAAAGATATGGAAAAAAAATGTATTATAAAGTATTTTGTAATGCAAAATATTTTATAATAAATAAAAACTAATATTGTTCTTTATAATTAATAAAATTTTAAGTTAATTGTTATTAGGCAGAATGTTGAGAGCAATAAACAGAACTGCAGTATATAAGTGACAGTATAAAGAATTGTACTTGGAGTTCAATTAGAAAAAAATAAACTTTCATTCTAATTCAGCTATGAGTATAAAAATTCATTTATATTAAATCTTCGTTTCAAAAAAATTATTTTGCTTTTTATCATAAAAATTATATGCCTGGTCGATCATAAAAGTACCGATTGCGCCAGAATATTCACCGATGAAACAACGCCACGATGGCTATGCAAGACTGTCCCTGATGAACTATTCGAAGGAATGATGGATCGGGAGACGCACTCTCTTTTATTAACTATGAGCAAACGCACGCACGAGTCGGACATTCGTAGCTGTAGCCTTGTACGGCGAGTATATGTCACCGTGTAATTCTCAGAGAATAGTGCAATCGACACACAATAATGCTGATGATAGTAACGTCACCAGCATTTTACATCATCAGATTCAAAGCGGAAAGTTTAATGGCGAGAGTCAACGATTATTAACGTCAAGCAGATCGACATATCCCTTCTATAGATATGACAATGGAATTTGAAGGTGCGTTAACGCCATAATTGTATTGGGAGGCTGTAAAACGAGGTCTGTGTCTATTGCCTTTCATCACGTATCATCTGTGTGTAATGTTCTGCACAGCGAGCTTTTCTCGCGTCAATTATAAACTATGTAAATTATGCTTGCCAGCTGTGTTTCCGTTTGCGCGGTTCGCTAAAGTTTGAAACGCGTAAATCGCTACTGGCGAGAAAATAGAACGTATTCTATGAAATAATATAAACAAAAGAGTTCTTTTTTATATAAAATTACAAGTAAATTATAAGAGAAAAATAGCAAAAATTAAAATGTAATTACATAATGATAAAATAAAAATGTAATTATGGAAAGAATGATTTTGATGAAATTTAGCTTTAGATACAGACTTAAAAATAATTTTATTTGAATTGCATCATTAAAATAATTATGGATTCTCAAATTGATTGCTAGAATATTAAAACTTTTTACAATATTCTCATCACCATCTAAACGTTCTACATAATTATTTTGATGATGCAACAAAATTATTTTCAGATCTGTATCAAGCTAAATTTTTATATATTTCAGCAAAATGCAAAACATATTATAATATTTATAACGTATTTACAATATCTACGATATCAAGGATATGAAATTTTTTTTTAATATCAAAAGTTTTAGTCCTGCTTTTAATTCTCTTTATAATAACTAAAATAAAAAGAAATATAAGCTTTCCTATACTATTATATTGTTACAATTTCGAAAGCCAGTATGTGATAACGAGGAGATGAAATGTCTTTATAAAGATTTCACTCATTTCGACGGGCGTTTCGTAAATCGATTTAATATATACAAATTGTACAATACAGCAAATCGGGATCAGACAATTGCTAAACAGTTATCTTTTCAAATCGACGCACATCGATTAATCCGCAGAGAAATAATCTGGTGTACCGTGCACACATCGCTTGCACGTATTCGCGAAAAATGATCCGTGCTATTTATTGAGCACTAAAGTTGCATGACAGCTTGCTCGTAAATTCAGGCCAACGACTATCGGATTCAGCGGGTGATACCGAGAAATAAGCACCCTCGCGATTAATGAGTGTGGACCACCGGGTGGGCGAGAAAAAGAGAGATTTTACTACTACTGCTCAATTCGCGAAAGCGGAATAATTGTACATCACCGTAAATTCGTACCCGTAATACGAACTATCTCGATTTCTTTGGACGCTATTAATCTCGATTGCGAACGCGCTTTTATAGAGGCTAACAAACTACCATCATTACCCTACTCGCGCCATTGCGGCGCTGTTCGCAAAACAAGATTATTAAAGACAAGATAATTTGTACAAAGCCGCGAGACAATATGCTCTGTAAACAAGATAATGAATTTGTGCAATTTGCTGTTTTGCATTTAAATTAATAGAAATGAGACTGCTCAAATAAGAACCTTTATGCTACGGTAAACAGAATAAAATACAAGAAGATTCATTCATCTATTTTTCATTGTATAAATATTATGTAAATGGTAAATAAAGTTAAATACATAAACAATTACTGGCAAAAAAGTAATAAAAAATATATTGTATTAATATAGTGCATAATAAGACATTTTAAACATGATGCAATAAACGAAATTCAAGACAAAAATTACGGTTTTATGTTATTCCAGCAACTAAATTTAATAAATAAATTATACCGACACTGCTAATGAACAATATTAAAGTCTATCGTAATTGTGATAATACCACATGGAAAAGTATTGCTGAAGTATCTAAAAATTCAGCTAGATACAAATTTGAAAATAATTATGTTGGATCATCAAAATTATATTGAACGCTCAAACTGGTTGCTATAGAATGTCTGCACTTTCTGCAGCATTATCATTATGCTTGAGCATAATTATTTTGATAATCTAACATAATTATTTTTAAATCTGTATTTAGCTAAAATTTTAGATACTTTAGTAAAATGGTTCTTTCCGTGCATTAATATTCGAATAGTTACTTTATCTTTTTTTTTATATATAGATGAAAGATCAAGAAAGCAAATAAGCGTAAGATTACCGCAATAGAAGCATTGATTGCTCTTAAATGTACGACGTCTAAAGACCAAACGATTCGTATTCTGTACAGTCAATTTGATCCATAATTCCGTAGCTAGTTCTAAGTAATCGCTTAAGGAATTCAATTCTACAAAAGAATAGCGTCTAATTACAGTGAGTGTAAAAAGTATTCATACAGAGAAATTATTTTTTAAAAAAACTTTATTTTTAAAAAGTAAATATTATTCAGCGAGAAATGAGTCATCGATTTAATGTCGAATTGATATAAATACTTTGATTTCAATATCAATTTGACGTCGATTCGACGTTTAATTAACGATCATTTCTTGTTGGATAATTAATAATTTATTCATAAAGAATAAAATAGACTGTTTGTTTCTTAAAATTATATATATATATATCAAAAAGATGTGTATTACTTATACAAAACAGTGAACCTGACAAACAAACCAAGAACTCTGCAACGACTTAAGAAGAAATCACTATTAGATCTCTGCTAAAAATATAAGAAATATAAGAACTATATTAAGCTAAATACCCAGCCTCATTAAAACCTATAATATTTATATTTTAATTTGTATTTAATTTTAATATGGTATTAATAAGGTAATTTATAAGGATACATCACTGGATGTATTCCTTCTCATGTTCATGTACGCCAGATAAAACTATTGCTAAATATCTTGTACACAAGATAGATGGTAATTAATAAAAGGGATGCCATTAAAAAAAAAAACAACTTATACAAAACATATCATCTGAAAAATAAGCGAAAATAAAAAATTGTATTGATTAAATGCTCAAAAAGTATTCGTACAAACGAGAAATTTAGCTTCTAAAATCAGGCATACATGCGAAGCTCGTTTGTTTATATTAGAACAGAATGTATTCATTATATAAAATTGTTAATTAATGTTTATTTTCTACAAATAAGACTTTTTTTATAACAAATTTCCTTGTATGAATACTTTTTGCTCTCTCAAAAGTAATGCCTCTTGGCAGAGAGCAAATTATCAATGTTCTTTGTGAGCATTAGTAACAAACAAGTTAAAAACTTAAGCTTCTTAACCTTTATAGAGTCATATCGATACGCATCAAAGAGCTTACGTCGCCGGAATGAGCGATTATGTATTAAAAATGCATAAGACGTAGTACATTAATATTTATGAAAGTTATTATCTCCCTGATGCAAAATTTCGATCGAATTAAATGTTCATTGCGAAGTCCGTTGAGATTGGACAAAATTGCAAGAATAATTTTTCAAACTAAATATTTTATGGGTGCTTTCTATATTTCTTTATTATAAATAATTTATGGTTTGCATTAACTCATACAGAACACACGTAGATACATAATCATGATTGTAAATTTCTGATAGATTACCGTCTAAACTTATTGTTTTTGTTACGATCATTGCCTTTAAATTGTCGAGAAGGATTCGTGGAAGTTTCGTCGCTCATGTGACGTCTTTACTGCCTCCGTACAAGAAACGCGAATGTATCCCATTTCAACTAAAAAATAGAAGGAATGGAAGACGAAGCTAACAGCTAACCAAAGATGGGCATGTATTTGAAATACTTTTATTTGAAAAACAATATTGAGAAGACAATTATATTTTGTATTTTGTGTTTGTTCAGAGTACATGAAAATATTTTGTATTTTGTATAGTATTGGGA